CCTCATTTGCTTTATGCGACAGGATTAGTTTCAGATACTCATTATCAAACAATCCTAGCAGCCTCAACTGGAACCTCATAAGGTTCCTGACACAACTCTCTAACTCTGACACTTGCAGCAAAAGCCTGCGTAGCGTAATGGTTAACGCGTTTGACTTCTAATCAAAAGATTGCGAGTTCGACTCTCGCCGTGGGTTTCCCGGCGACTTTAGCTCAGTCGGGAGAGCGTTAGACTGAAGATCTAAAGGTCCTGTGTTCGATCCACAGAAGTCGCATATTTTTGCCCTTCTTTGAAGAAACCTAGTTAAACATGCACTTCCCAGAGGTAAGCGCGGAGTCTGGACGTCTGGGTAATTCTCGGAGTTGGGACACGTTAAAGACTCGGGATGCAATCATGTATACACACAGGAAATGATTGTAGTGACGGGTTCAGACTCCATGGTCACCATCCCGTTTTTTCCCACGTAGATTACAATCTAACTCTACCAGGATACCTTTTATTATTCACCCCACCGTGGCCACACTCATGTTATAGAAACCTAGGTCGCATCGGTAAATCTCTTGTCGTACTCATCCCTGAGGTGGGGCATGAGCTGTGCAAAGTGGCCGCGGAAGTTTTCGCCGCAGTGAATACACCGCAAGTCAGTAGTTTTGACAATCTGTTCCATGGCTTTAGCATTTTGATAGTCAATTCCATTCCGCCTGGCTGCTTCCAATCTCGCAGGGGAAAACGGTAAATCTTCAAAGTTAATGAAAAACGGAGTATTGAAGCTGTTGTAATGCTTTCGGTTCTTTAACCGGTCGCTCGTGAAGTCGCCCGTGAGTACGTGAATGTGCAAATTTTCCAATGAGGGGACAGCATGGAACCCTGCTAGAACATATTCGTCCAAGTGTTCTTCATCGACAAGACTGTGGAAGGCTTCCCCATAGTTCTCATACCGTTTGCACTGCGGATCGTCCTCGGGGGGATAGGTCTGTTGTATGGCTTCGCCCCAGACACTGTTGTACATTTCGCATATGACCAACCGCTTAGCCATTGTGACGTACGGTGCCAAATGAGCTTTCAAGCGGGCGCCTTTCTCCCCATCAAACACAGTGAGCGGCGATTGGCGAGTAATGGATGGATCACGGGGAAGGATCAAATAGTGTACCCGGGACTTTGGAAAGGCGTCTCTGATGATGGTGACCTTGTCATCGTAGAAGACTAAATCGCTCTTGATTTTTGTTTCAGGATGCTGAATGTATGGCGCAAGAGCACGTCTAAAAGACATTTTGCGGTTCTGGCCATGACAGACCAAAGGTGGGCGTAGGTGAATAGATATTTGGTTGTCAGAACCTTGCCCTTACAGAATGGCTTCGCGGTGCATTTCCACATTCAGCACCCCAGGATTCAATCTCCAGGCTCGCTTGGACCTGCGCATAGAGATCGAGAATCCCGTATGGCAGTGTCACAGCGATGAATTCGCCTCAATCCCGCGCGGTGTTCGACCCAACTATTAGTACTTATCGGTAGATTGTATGTCAAGACACGGATTAGCAGTAGATATTAGCGTGGTACAGTAGGTAGAGAGTGGAGCATGTCAAACGTATTCTCTGGGTTACAAGAGAGACAGCCGTTGGTGGAAATTTGACAACTATATATCCGAAAGCCTAACCTAAATCGAGTAGATCAAATCCAGGTTAAATACAGATCAAACCCAGGTCATGGGCGAAACGGAGAGCGGGGAATCTCATTGGCCCTCCGATGCTCGGGTAGAGACACCGCTAGTCTAACCACGACCCCTTGTGATCACAGTCCCTCGTGATCTCCAACGCTCGCAACCGTGCGCCGTCCGTGTTTCTTTTTGCCCCGCTTGACCCCTATGCACAGTACAAGGCGAGGAGCGCGTCATAGGTTAGTTTATCGCGAGTGCGCCGCACTCTATATGCCCACGCACGTCCAAAACGGCCTCTTAACCCCTCCATGCGTGCATCTCTTTACATCACCCCGGATAAGGTTATCATGCAGATATGCCAACCTGAACCCTATAGGCAAGACACAGCGATACTGAACACCAAAACTTTTCAAATGACCCGTTTCCGTTTCCTCAGTGGTACCCGCCTGACTATATAAAGCCCCCCGTTCCCGTGCTTCGAAACACCTTTTTCGTCCTCTTTTCTTTCTCAAGTCACTCTTATCCATTAACATGTCTCCATCGTTCCAAATCTCCTCCGCCGACGCCAGAAAGCAGGAATCCGACTTTTCTGCTCACAACTACCACCCATTGCCAGTGGTCTTCTCCAAGGCCTCCGGCGCCCACGTGTGGGACCCGGAAGGAAACGAGTACCTCGACTTCCTTTCTGCCTACTCTGCTGTCAACCAGGGCCACTGCCACCCAAAGATCATCGAAGCGCTTGTCGACCAGGCCTCTAAGCTCACCTTGTCATCCCGTGCGTTCTCCTCCGACGTCTTTGGTGTTTTCGCCAAGTACATCACCGAGTACTTCAACTACGAGATGGTTTTGCCAATGAACACCGGGGCCGAAGCGGTTGAAACGGCCTTGAAGTTGGCCAGAAGATGGGGTTACACCAAGAAGAACATTCCCGCCGGTGAAGCCATTATCTTGTCCGCCACCGACAACTTCCACGGTAGAACTTTGGGGATCATTTCCATGTCTACTGACCCAGAGGCCACTGCTGACTACGGCCCATACCTCGCCGGTGTTGGCCCACAGATCCCGGGCGCCCCAAAAGGCACCTTCATCCGCTACGGTGTCATTGAGGATATTGAGCTCGCCCTCAAGAACGCTGGTGACAAGGTCTGTGCTATTTTGTTGGAGCCAATCCAGGGTGAGGCCGGTATTGTTGTGCCACCAAAGGACTACTTGCAGCAGGTGACCGCTTTGTGTAAGAAGCACAACGTGTTGTTGATCTGTGACGAAATCCAGACTGGTATCGCCAGAACTGGTAAGATGTTGTGCTACGAACACTCCGCCGGTGTCAAGCCAGACATTATCTTGTTGGGCAAGGCCATCTCCGGTGGTGTCATGCCAGTCTCCGCTGTCTTGTCTTCCAAGGACATTATGTTGTGCTTCGAGCCAGGTTCTCACGGTTCCACTTACGGTGGTAACCCACTCGCCTGCCGTGTTGCCATTGCCGCCTTGGAGGTTGTCAAGGACGAAGGCCTTGTCGAGAGATCCAGAGATCTCGGTGAAAAGCTCCGTGCTGCTCTTACCAAGTTGATGGAAGAGTCCAACGGTGTTATCTCTGAGGTTCGTGGTGTTGGGTTGCTTTCTGCCATTGTTATTGATGAAACAAAGACCAACGGTAGATCCGCCTGGGACTTGTGTTTGTTGATGAAGTCCCATGGTGTTTTGGCCAAGCCAACTCACAACCACATTATCAGATTGGCCCCACCTTTGGTCATCTCCGAAGAGGACTTGATGAAGGGTGTTGCGTCCATCAAGAAGTCCTTGATTGACTTGCCAAATGTCGAAAAGACTGCTCATTAAGGGACTCACTTCAATTCTTGTACACTATCTAATAAAGTCTTTACGGAAGTCGAATGTAGAAGCTGCAAACGGAATGGATAGGTTTGTCTGTGGTGCGAGGCCTTATGGAGTCTTCGGAGCTTGCTTTGTCAAAGTAACCTCTTGGCGTATCATCAATGTACCTTTTAAAACGCCACACCGATGTAACCTCTGGTCCTGACATTCTGTCAGGGTTCCAGCGCCTGTTGGTATTCCAGTCGGGGGGTTGTAATCAGTCATTGATTCACAAGTTACTTATCGTGATCTTCCAC